GCACTTTTTTAATAGTTTTGCTTCCTCACATATGAATACATATTATGTTTGGAGACCTGCTGTGCCTGATGATGATATCCTCAATTAGGTGGTTTCTAGCTCAAAGCTGCAGCAGTACTAACCTGACTCTGCTTCAGGTCCCCTCAGAAACCACAACACACTCTAGATTATCAGAGCTATTTCCTTCAGATATAAAAATCTAGATGAACTTCATAATTACAATATGGGAAGTGCAATGAATGACCTAATGAGAAAAGTTAAATGTCTTCTTGCAAGGTAGATCAGGGTGAGGCAACTCAAGTAGTGTAATTAATTGAATGAAATCGGCTATGGGTAAGACAGCTGTGTACATTCTACTGTACATTCTATCTGTCTTTCAAGCTTTACGTCACCGAATTCAGGGCTAAATACAGTCTTTAACTTTAATGACCTTCTGAAATAATACTTGTGAGCCTCTGTTTTATCTCACCAGTAAATTCATACATTGGACACATGCTACCAGTTTTGTTTGGGATTTTGTTTGTTATTGTGTATTTTTTTAAAGCAAGGTATAAGAACTGCAGGCACAGTTTTTTCATAGGCAAATCACTCAAAAGCCGAGCAATTGAAAGGCTAGGGATAGGAGATATCTACTGAGTTGTTAGCTATCTGGGACCCCAAGACACTCCCCATTTAAGTGGCAAACTGCAGAAAGGGGAAAAGGATTGCACAGCCCCACCAAAGAGATAATGATAGTTGAATATAGTTGAAGTCCCAGGTTTCCCTTGAAATATCTCATTTCTGATCAGGTCAGAGGCATGAGGCCACAAGGCAGACTGCCATTTTTTAAGAGAAACATTAAGAAAATTGTTAGACTTCAGCATCATTTAGTTTTGGTCCAAAAGTACACACAGTTCTCTGCTGAGCAAGGCAACCTAGACCTTCTACAAACGCAAATACCAATGGGGTGGAAGAGGCTCTCTCCATGCTCTATTTGCTCAGGCAAGTCTTCCACTATTCCCAAAGCTATATGTGACATGTCTTCTCTATTTAACTTGATGGTAAAAGAGGGGACAGTGGGAAACAATGAAGCTTCTTGCTATTGTTTATCTACCTAAAGTTTTTTTCTGTGTGAGGGCAGACACTCTTTCACCACTGTGTCTACTTTTCGATCAGATGTGATGCATTTCTTTCCACCAGGAAGCCTTGCCCAGGCTGAGCTATGACAAAGGTTTTACAAGCAAATCACCCTCCCAAAGAATCCAGGGATTCTTTTCTCGTTCTCATATTTCCGTGTTCATTGTCATCTTCTGATTAACAAGTTGCTACTGTGTTCTTTTAACACAATCAGAGGTACCTGACAGTAGGGGCTTGCTGGGCTGTTTCGAAACAATTCCGTGAGAAATGGAGAATACAGCCTCAAGCATGAGGAAGGACCAATGATATCCACAGAAGTTTGGCTGAAATGTAGAGTGCCTTAGCAGAATTGACAGAAAACCTACAAATACTATAAAAAGTATGGATGAGTGGAGGAAGAAAGACAACAGGTATAATCTGTTCCCACAAAGGAAGGAACGCAATCAGAAGTTCACAGAAGGTGCTGTCCTAGAGAGTTTTAAAAGATTGAATATGAAATACCTATCCCTGTTGACATACTGCTTCCCCTTCCTGTAAGAATTTAGGAGATGTAAAAGACTACAGTATTCTGTCAAAATGGTGTACACCTCACCAGTATTTTGCTTTAGAGAAGAGTCAGGTTTACATTGTTAATCTGTTGCACTTCCTAGGCTGAGGGAAAGTCAGGCTGGTTTTTGCCCCACCCTCATCATTGACATTAGCCGAAGGAAAGTCAGATGAAGTTTATTGTTATGTTAAGGGATTTCATGAAACAAATGGGAATGCTACACAGTGTTTATCTTCAGACACTTCCTGCTAGCAGCAAGGCTAGTTTATGGGGGTTTATAGCCTGTTTCTATAAACAGTCTCCGTAAGTATTCACTTCACCTTAGTTTGTGCTAATCCTCTGTTGTTTTACTTGAACTGTTCATTGACACATACCAAGTGGTGAAGGATATACACCAAAGATACAGAAATAAGTTATGTTTTCTCCTATAATCATAGCTTGTACTCCTAAACCAGAAAAGACACATTATTGTCTCTGTTTGACCTTACCTCTGGTTGGACATGTATTTTTGAGGCTGGAGTGGGACTTGACTTCTCTGTAACATTCTATATTTGCTTATTTTTCATTAAGGCACAAATCAAGCAAAGCATAATCAATGTGCCAGCCACTAATCCTGCCTTCCCTAGTCAAGGAGCATGCAAAAGAAGTTTGTGTAAAATGCTCCTGACTTTATACCTTTCTCTTTTTCAGTCTCCAGCACTGATGATATGTATTATCATTATTATTCTTTCATTTCTTCAGTCCAAAATATCATTATGAAATTAGAAGATGAGAATCAGTAAGTTATAACTTAGTATCTACCTACATGTACAACAAATGTTCTCACTTCCTGGAGCCTTGCCCCATAGTTCTGCTGCATTCAGTAGTCTGTTAACTATGCCAGGCTGACAAGCAATGGTTCTCTTTCAATATGAGCACTTCTATCAGCAGGTATGTCAAAGTCAGACAATGCCTCAATCACCAAATATTGTTTTAAATCAAGATACAGACAGGCCTAATTGCTTAGAAGCTTGGCTCAGCCTACTCAGAGGAAGGGAAATGAGCTATACCTAAATTTCCCTAATTTTAAACTTGCTAGAATCCAGAGTCTGGATGAAGAGTCATCCTTAGCTGATGTTCAATAACTCATCTCTTTTTTCTCTAAAAGATTTGAGTGCTCAGAAAAAAGCCTTTAATTTGGGGAATTTCCATCATCTCCCCATACCATACTATAGCTGCAGCAAATGAAGATGGAAACCACTTCTCGAGAGGGACATTCATGAAACAAGCTTCAGTTGGTTAAACTAGCTAAGCAATATGTCTATGCTAAGTCATTTTCCACTTTAACAGGATAGCACCAAGAGCGTAAAACATATTGCATCTGAAGTAGCCACCCCCACAGCACTGTCAGACAAGCTTGCCCTCCCAGAGGAGGGAGGGTAGAAGATTAGGAAGCAAATAAGGAGAAACACCAGAATAACTCAAGTGGAAACTGAGCAAGATAGGATGGGAAGAGGTTTTGTTCATATTCTTGCCTCTTGCTTTCTTGACGATAACGCTAGTGAAGCAACTGCTTCTGTTAGGTACGAGGCACCTCCTTTCAGAGCTGACTGGACTAACATATTCTATTCAATCTTCCTCTGTGTTCTGCCATGAGTTACTTTTATCATCTCCTTCATCACCATAGTTTCCACAAAATGTTTTCTGCTAATTTTTTTTAGAAATTTTCTTCACTGTTTATAAACTATGACAGATAAAACTCCAATAACTGTCAACAATAAGATGCTAATAAAGATCCAAATATATCTGGCTGAGTAGTACATACATAGAAATACGAGAGGAATTCTCATATTTCACACACTTTGCTAGCAGGACTGCTGCGCTTTCTTCTGGTCCTAACATGGTCATTTTTTATTTGTTTCTTTGTTTTCTGTAAACTCTCTCTATGGAGGCCCTATACCACCACAGAAACATGAATGGCCTCCTTCAAAAACTAGCAGGAATGTTCCTTTAACAGGTCAGATGGGCAGTTAATCATAGGGGCCATAAGATGTTGGAGGAAACTCAGGGGAAATTATTTTCTTCTTACTCACAGAGGTGGAAATCAGAAGTTATATCTAAGGTTTGCTAAAGGGTAGTCAAACTGTTGGTCTCAGCATCGTTCCCAACTCCTGCCAGCTCCCTGTGAAACATGGTCTAGATTAACCAGTGTAAGACAATGGTGCAACAGTGTTTGCACTCAAAGCTGAACCACTTTAAGTGAACTGATGCAGCATTTAGACAGACAAACCTTTGGTGAATGAAAAAGCTTCTTTCTCCCTTTGCTTTCAATCAGACCTACCAATCCATTTAAGTCTGAGGCACAAGCACAGGTAGACCTGATTAGACCATGAGCAAAGCAAATAGCACCCAGAACCACCCAAATATGAGCCTTTATGATTTTGGATTTGGTCATTGCACATCCACCACATGTTGGGGACATATTTAACTATACCACTGGCTCAGGTATGTCTAACAGATAGTCAAAATAACAAGGACATCAACACAGACTGCAAAACACACCCAAGAAATCTGGGAAATAATCAGGTGGCTAGTCTACCTTGAGCTATGTGCAGGCTTGGCTAGCTGGCTTCAGAAGGGTTTAGGAACATCTATGGATGGACTTGCCACACTGTGAGTTCAGATCAGCCATACCCTCCATGTAAGAAAAAAGAGGGCAAGCTCTGCAACTGTTATGCATTTTTTGCATAGAAAAGGGGAGTGATGTTAGTCTGGAAAAAGACTCCCTACTTGTCTACAAGCTAAACCCAAGAGAGCAATGTGATTTACTCAGATGTACACACGCTGCTGCAGCTTCACTGAAGTCAGTGGGTACCTGCAGGATTTCAAGGAGTCTATTCATCTTGACCAGCAGTCAAGCAAGGATTTTGAAATTAATTTGGGCACTGAAAACACATTCCCTCTAAAAAGTCTGGTCCACTGGTTGTTTAGTGTATTAAACAACTGTTTAGTTGGGAATAGACCAGCCCTTTGTTAGATCATTTTTCTACTTTGTGACTTTTTGTTACTATCACTTAAAATAGGCAAAACTGAACAAACTGAAAACCAGCTATTTTTTTTTCCCTACAGATAATTTAAAAAAAACCCACCTAAAATCACAGAACTCTTTTTACATTGAGTGAAATTTTCCAAGGTCTTTTTTTGCTTATATAAAAATGGATTAAAGAAAAGGTACTGCTTTTATATTTCCCTTCTACTTTACTAACAGAGAAACAAAAATTACTTGCATTCCTATTGGTTTCAAGTCCCACCAGTTTGGTGGTTTTTTTTTTTGGTTAAAAATAGAAACAACTTCTCAGGCAGTTTCCAAATAGATTTCTTCTGTTACTTCCCATCAGACATAGTATTTTTCAACCACCTATATTTAAAATCAATATGAAGATTCCCACTGGTACAAAAGGGAGTTGGGTCAGGAAGAATCACAAAAATTTCAACTAGATTTTTGTCAAAAGGATATTCCCCTTTCTGGCAAAGTAAACAAACAAAAGAAAGCATTTTTCAGTTTTCATAGGTAAACCAGAGGACACTACCATCCACCAGCAATGATATGCTGAAAAATGGAAGTTTTGCTAACATTCTACTTGGAAAAAATCATTGCTAGAAAATAGTGAAAAATTAGGACTCTTCCATGACCAACTGTTGAGTGATTTCAAAATTTTTACTGCTAACATCCAAAATGTGACCAAGGATAGGAGTGCTACAGGTTTTTACCTAGAGATAGTGGCATTTTGGAATGAACAGTCACAACACACCCCCAAAATATTCCATGCCTGTAAATACTCAAGAAAATGACCCCATCCTTTCCTTCAACAAATAATTTCATAGTTATCAAGATGCAATAAGTACTTAAGAAACAAGTTGGGGTTTCTTCAGATATGGAGTCCCAATCTTAAATATAATTTCATCCAGCCAGACTCCTATGATCACACAGGGCACCACTGGCTTCAGCAGAGCTCTACATGGGTTCAAGTTCTGCTTGCATGGAATAACTACCAGACTGAGACCTATGGCAAGACTTGAGAATATTTTAAAAACCTCTACACTGTTCAATACACGATAGACATAATTTTCTAAATGAGACTGGAGTCCTTTATTACAGGCCTCTAAAAGTTGTTGTTAGGGTTATACATTAAAAATACTAAAGTAATAAAAAAAGAATTTTTTTTCTGTGTTTGCTTGTTTCCTTCTATGATACCATTAAGCTATAAATAATTTTAGGATAAAATGCCTAGGTATAAATGAAACTGTTAACTGATCATGTTTGCTGATGTCCCTTTCTCACATTGCCCAAGTTGGCTCCATTAATCCAGCATCTTCTCTTGTTTCTTGCCTTCCTTTTTCTTCTTCTTGGATTCTGTCAAGATAACAATAACCATAAAAAATTAGAGTCTAACAGTCACTGCAACAAATTTCATTCAATACCCTGAAACTTCCACTTGTTTTCTCTGTGTATGTAAGAACTAATTCTGATTCCTCATTCTGAACAAGGAAAGGGAAAAGAGAAGGAAAAGAAATTAAAAAAGGAACAGCTGAGACACTAGAGAAGATGGAAAGGGGAGTGCATGTGCTGTTCAGAACCCTTCCTATCCGAGCAGCTGACCCTGTTTGGCATGCAAGGCATTGTCTCAGGAACTTGCTTTGAAAATAAGAAAACAGCAGGCAGCTCCTGGAGAAACCGGGTCATGGCTCACTGGAGAGCTGGAAGAAAGCTTTGCACACACTATCCACACACATACCCTTCTTCCTTGCTTCCTTTCTGTTTCATTGTCTGTCTTTGGCTTTCTCTAAAAATAAGAGAAACTCTAGAGTGTGGTGAGAAAGCTCACTTACTTCTTCAGCTTCTCCATTGCCAACTCCTTTCCCTTTGTCTGGGACTAACACCTATGTACACTTGAGGAGCCTGGAGTCACTAGAACATGGTCTGTCCAGGCAGCTGGTACTGACAGGATGGCGAAGGGACTAGGAAGCATCTGCTTCTCTGATTAATTTGGGGTAAATAAGGTAACGATGTGAAAGTGCAAGTTAAAGTTTATATTAAAATCACCATTTATGGTCTTATAATACCATACCATATAATACCACCTTTCACTGTGCTAAAGGGGAGGGTGGTATTCTACAGGCAAAGGAAATTCACAGAGGGACCTAAGACATGAATATGTATCACATGTCACTTTGCAATGGGCAAAATAACAGGTCTCACAGGGAATGTGAATAAATCAAATCTTCACCGATACCACCAAAAAACACAGCACAACAGGTACTACAGAAAGAATGAAAATGAGTTTCTGTGAAGCATCCTTCCTGGAACCAAAACAGCAACCAAGTAGACTCATGTTTGCCTTAAACCAGGTGCCACTTTTCTCCTTTGAATCCAGCCTTTGTTTCTTCCTTCTCAAAAAAAAGACCTCCTCCCCACCAAAGAAACCAAAACAAGACAAAAAAAAAAGAACCCCAACCAAAAACCAAACCAAAAAAATCAAAAGAACAACAAAATAACAACCAAAACCAAAAAGCAAAAGAAAACCAAACCCCAACAGAAAACATCTCAGATTAAATAATGAATAACCATGAATGAGAAGACAAGCACTTGGCCCTTTATGTGGTACACTCTTCTTTGTGAATATGATCCTTTTCTCTCTGACCAGTTTGCAGAACACAGATAAGCAAGCAATAATCACCTCTTGTAAAACCTTACTTGCATTAAAGCCAAAAGAACTACATTGACATCTTTCAGCTATGCATGGGGCCAGGGTACCTTCGACAGAAGGCAGGCTTAAGTCATCACATTTCTCTGATGTTTGGGTTTTTTTTCCTGCTAGTGTTTCAAAACAAAATCTTCATCTTTTTCAACATGACAAAAATTGTTTCTGATAATCCTTCGTCAAAGCAAAATAAAATACCTATTTTATGCTTAGTCACAAAATCTGCTGTATAGAATCTTTCCCTTAAAAACTCTTCTTAACATTTAAATGGATAATAATTTAAAAGTAATTTTGTTTGAAAATAAGAAAATGAACTATTATTTTTTTTTACCCCTGCCTTTGTATGTCAGTGTTTGTGTGTGCTTGTGTGTGTATGTCTGCCTGCAGTCCAGACCTGTTCACTGAATCTGGCATTATTTTACATGTCATTCTAAAATGCCACTTATCTTTAAGTTCATCTAATTTGCTTTCAGCTAAAGCTTTTTTCTCCCTACAGATTTTCTGTCTCCCCTCCTATCCTCTTTAATCCATGTTTGCCAGCACTTCCTCTGATTTTGCTCTGTATCACTGAGCCTCCTGGATTCTGTATTGATTGCACTCTGACTGTCTTTCCTCACCCCCTAACACTGCTTTCTCTGACAGAAACAGTGGTGTTTTACTAATCACACCAGCATTTGAATTTGAAAAATCTATTTAAACCCAGTACAACCAGAAAGACACTCTGCAGACTTCAACTAAATTTACCAAAAGCAGAGCAGACATATGAATGCAGGCAGACCACTAATAGGACTCTATTGAAGAGTATGTGCAGTTTACAGTAGAGGTGAAGTCACCACCAGTAAAAGATTTTTGTCTGGACTTGTGTGATTGCATCAGGTCCCCATCTTCACCTGACTTGAGTACCAAACAATTCACTGTTAATCCATCTGCACTTGGCCCCTGGGCATCTCTATCTGCTCCTGTAAGCAAAAGCTCTATTCTGCCCTGCTGTCTACCTTGTGATAATCTGCATATCATCCAAACTGCCAAACCCATCTACCTACAAAGATAAGTGATTCTTCTTTGTGTCTCAGCAGAGTAAAACCTTTATGGTCACTCATGGGATGTAAATCCTTTCACATTAAAGGTACTCACACCACCACAGCTTACTCTTTCAGACAGGTAAACTGTACTGATGAAAAGTAAATTTGCTCCATGAAATGACATGCATCCCCCAAGTTGTGGCAATATTTCAATATTTCAAAAAAAAAAGAAAAAAAAACAAAACTGCTCAAATATTCCCCAGTCCTTAAGTTCTTCTAAAAATCTTACTACATACATCAATAACAGATACTGGCCCATGAAGATGTTGCTGTTAGTCTTTTCATGCACAGCTACCCGCCAACTGTTTTGACTATGGGCAGGCTACAGACTACTCTATGTCCATGGCTAACAAAATATAAAGTTGCTTTAAGATGTACTTTGTTCATGTTTTCTCATGCTAAGACCTAGTTTTTGCACCTGTGGCATTCAGGCTTTCACTGCCCTCATCTCTACTCACCCTGCACTACTATTTCTACTTTTATGACCAGCTATCAGCTCAGCTTAAACATCCACACTGGAATCCATGTCACTCTGATCATCTGGTCTGCCAAAGTTTCCCTTCCAAAAGTAATCAGGCTTAACTGAAAGGGTCACCATGCCAGCAGTGCCAGCACTGACACCATGCTAGGAAGCCCTGATCAGCTGAGAATACAATGCCAGCTACCTGAAAGCTCAAAAGAGCCCCATACACCAGCACCAGCTGTAGCCATGTACAGTGAAAGATCCTCTAGATGCCATGAACCGTGACATCTCAATATAAAGCTTTGTGAAAGGTATGTAGACAGGTATGTAAAATTGGTATTTACAGTGAAACACATAATTTACATACATTAAATGCTTTATCAAAGGTATTTCTCCTAGAGCTACCAAGATCAGGGTCAGCAGTGAGGTGGGCGTGGGTGCTGTCTCTCGCTGTCTCTCAACACTTGAGGTGAGCAGGCTATGCAGTGGAGGGAACAGATGAGCACCATTCTTTGCCTACTGCTCTGAGTGCACTGTGTGTTAGTGTCCCAGACAAACTGTCCTTCCATTGCTGGCATGGCTCAGCATATAGCCACACTGAGGAAAGCAGTAGCAGGATCTATGCCTTCCTCTCTGTCTCCCTTCACATCAAGGAAATACTTATCTTTACAATCCTTGCGCATCCTTGAGCAAGACAAAGATACTGGAAGAGTGAGCTATGTATGTTCCAGAATATTAATAAGGATGACAGAACAGTCCTCAGTTTTTGTGTCTGTGTTAAAGCATACACTTTCCTCCCTCTCATCCCACAGTAAGAAACTGCCTAGTGGTGCTCTTGCTCAGAGGCTGGAATTCTGGACCTGGGGACACACAAAGAGCAAATTCAGAATACCTTTTTCTCCCTATAGGACCCAGCAACAAGAATTGCACAGACATCCCACTCCCCTCCTGGAACCCAGAACAGTTCCAGTAAGGTGAAAAAAAACCCTATGTAACATTGTACAAACAGTCCTGCAAGACAAAACTGTGCCAGTGCACACATACTGGATTACCTAATCATCCGTCACCTGAATATGAGCAGTTGAATGCCTGAGAATTATTTGCAGTATTAAAGGCTGTGTGGTCGTGGATTAGCAGTGAACCCACTTCTGTGATGACTAGTAACAAAAATTTCAGTGAGGATCTTGCAGGGTAAACAATTTAATTTGATAAGCAGAACTTTATGGCATTTGGAATGGCAGCAGCCGTCTTTAAATAGTCATCTTTATTCTGAAGACTCATTCTCATTCAGCACAGGAAAGTAATTTTGTCAAACAGAAGCCACACACCATTTGAAGCCACCCTTAATGCGTAAGGCACAAAAGGAAGGTAATTACATTTTAATGGAAGCCAAGCTTTCTAAACCAAGATTTGCAGGTATTTATTTTCATTTGTTGAGAAGAAGGTAACAATTCACTCATGGCACTTCTGAACTCCTGTACATAAAAGGAAAGCAGTGTCCCCAAAAGCAATACAAATCATTTGAAATAGCAAAAGCTGTGCTGATGGAAGGTTAGAGTGAAGAATTTCAACACCAGGTGTTCAGGGCGCAGTTTTGTCAGGAGCTAGCATTCAGTGCCACTGAATACAGAGGAAGGCAGCTCTTCTGAAGGGCTCTCTACCTCTCATTGGGGAAAATTTTCCAAAGCATCTGCCTGCTATAGTGAAAGGCAACGGTGCCACTGGGTGCAGGGAACTTTCGAATCTGGGGGATGAAATGCCAAGCCATATGGAAGGAAGCACTCTTGACATTGATGAAGCCAAGAATTTTATCCTTGGGTGAAAAAAAAAATCTCACTTTAAAGAGGCTCACCCTGCTCTCTAGGAACAGAAACCGCTACCTTATGATTTCCATGGCTGTACAAACAAATCCCTTGATTTCTGAAATGGTATTTCTTCTGCTTCTAGGGAAAGGGAACCTTTCATGGCCATAAATTCCTTTTCTTCCTATTTTCCTGCACAGCATTTATATATTCCCAATAGTTTCAGAAGGAAAAACTATGTTACAATAGCAGTTTTCTTCCAAAATAAGCTCTTCTCAGAGCAACGCAGTCCTACTGGTTGGAAA